TTACTTAGTATAAAAAAAAGTTTTAGATAGAAGCGCTGTGCATTCGCACTTATAGTAAAATTTATATATATAAAAAATTTTTTATTCAGGTAACTGGTGGATTGCCTATTAATTACAAGAAATGTGCAATTGCTTAACTATATATATAATTTTTTTTCTTTTTTTTTATAACTTTCATTATTATATAATTAATTACAAGAAATGCACAACCCATCCGAAACTAATATAATATTTATTGCCTCTTCTAAAATTCTAGCTAAATTTCATTAACCAACTTCATATATAAATGGGTTTGCATTACTTTTAATATAAAGATGCACAGCATCTATAAATTCTTTCCAAAGGGGGTTTCAATAGCTGTAAAAGAAATACTGACTGAATAGAAAGATCTTGCTAATTTAACATCTAATTTGGTTATTGTTATAGTGTTTCGCAGATTCGATCTGAGATCCGGATCCCATCTGGATCCAAGGGGTCAAATCAGGTCCAAATCCATAAAATATAAGATCCGACAAAATTCGAATCCACATGGGGGTTCCAATCTGATATACCCATTAGGATCTGTTCGAATAGCGTACACTGATTGTCTGTAGGTTGTGTACTCTGATAAGTTAGTGTTAGCAGATAATCTAAGCCATCATAAAGAAAAGCATTTTAAAAATTTTTTTTTAAAGAAAAAAAAAGCATTATGAATATTATATGAACCTCTCTTTTTTATGAATATTAAATAAGAATTTAAGAACCATTAAGAGCCTTTTTTTTTATGAATTCGTATAAGAATTATAAGAATCTTTTTTTTTAAAATAATGAATATGTTACAAGAACCTTTTTTTTTAATAAGAAAAAAACCTAAAAATTAATTCTAAGATTATAAGACGTTTTCTTAAATTATTTTTTTTTATTTTTTATTTTTTTATATATATATATAAGTACTTTTGTGTTTCGTGTTTCAACTTTTACAACTTTTATAAGCCAGTAATTACAATGTTAACTTCGTTTATGCTTTATTATATTGAAGATTATGAAGCAGTCTCTGCTTACTTAACTAAGCCTGAAGATTATAAACCAGAACCTAATTACTCAGATAGGTCAGTCTATTTACTAGTCTATTCAGATAGACATAAAGAATGTGAAGCAACACCTACTTGTCAGGATGAACCCAAAGTTGGTAAAGCTAATAACAGACGTACAAGGTAAAACAACTCTTCTCAAAAAAGATTCTTTTTTATTTACAGTAGATTGTTTTATTTACATTTGTTTGTATTACAGATCTTTTGTATAGTCATACTTTATAAAAGAAAATAGTTTTGCACAATGTAAATTTTGTAAAAAGAAGTTAGTATATCAAGATGGAATAACATCGAATCTTAAAAAACATCTTAAGCAGCATAAAAAAAAAGTATCTGAGTTAAAAGAATTGGATATAAAAAAACAAGGTAGTGCTTCTGTTATTGATATGCTAAATAACAATAATGTAAGTTTTAAAATACTTTTTTTTTTTTTTTTTTTTATTATATAATGTCATAGTAGAAACTTTATTACAGTCAGTCCAAAGATTGAAAGTTAT